AGGCCACCCACAAGGCTGTTCGCCAAGCGGCGTTTTGGCCGCGCAGCCGTCGACTGTATGAATCCCTTTGCACAGCATTTTCGGCCTGCGAAGATGGATCTGGTTGGAAAGGCTCTGCATTAGAGGCTGTGTAATCAATCATGCTTGCCTCCATTGCCCCTGTATTTGGTAGTCAGGCGCGTGACGCTTTACTGTAACTTTACGCCGTGTGGCCGAGTACCCTGAACCGCTGCAAGGCAAGCAGAAAGGTGAACATGTGTTTGAGTTCAACTTCGCCCAAGTCGCGCGTTGCCTAAAGGTTGCGAAAGACAGCTCGGCTGAGCAGGGCTGAAAAGCGGAGGCCCCCTGGTGCTCCTGTTTATGCTGTAATTGGAGGGGAAAACCTCGGGGAGATGAAGCTACAAGGCCTTACCCTTGGCAAGTCGTACGGTTGACCACTTAAAAGGGTCCTCTAGTAGCACCACACGCGCCTCAAAACGCGCTTGTATGGGTCAGAAGTTTCGAGACTTTGACTGATGGTTAAGACCCTAACGAATACGCAAAACTTCGCCGCCCACGCACCCACACAGTGGAGATGATTATTGTACTTCGAGGATTCTCACACAATTCTTTGAAAAATGTCCGAAAATTCCCATTAGCCGCCTAGAAAACACCGAATGACTTGAATACAGCTACTGTGCTCTGTGTTTCACGGAATCCTCGCTCTCAAGTATGCGGACGCTCAGCTCGCCTCGAGGCCAGCGGACGGTCAGTCACAACAGACCAAATGAAATCTCATCTATCTTCACTCGTATTTAACCACTACCGGTTAGAAAAATATGGCGTTTTCCTCTGTTTTGTATGAACTAAACAACGATTGCAAGCGCTGCACTTACTGGAGTTGTAAAATTGTGGGGTTCAACAGGGCACCCCCAGGTATCCTGGGGTTCAGCAGGGCACATCCCAGATCTACTGGAAAGAACGCTGTCAATACCCCGAACCACTGATCAGACGGTAATTTATGTTGGCTTCGATGGGAATGATTCTGATAATGACCGAGCCTAGG